TTTTTTTTTAACGGTACGCTGGCAAAAAAACCTCTTCCAGAGGAAAAGGTGACTGTTTTCTTCGTTTAATTTGACTTTAGAAAGAAAGGCGAGAGGTCATTAAAATAAAATAAAAACTAAAACTCCGCACAGAACGAACCCGAACTGCTGATGAACAAAAGTCGATCTGCGCACGCAAGGAGGTGCTATCCCTATTCTTCTTCCGGAGAAACGAAAGAGAGTTTCAAAACTGCAGCGCCATCTGAAGCAAAGAGTGGACTTCCGGCGGACACTTTTTGGGCTGAGTGGACCATCTTGTTATGTACTATCTTTGGCACTGAGTACTTATCGATACTGAGCTCTCTTAGTCAATACATTACTCAAGATTGGCCAATATCGACTGGTGCCCGCCACAACTCGTACCGTTCTCCTTTCCCTGGAAAACAGCAGACCACAAAAAGGCCACAGCTGGGCATGTTATAAGAAAGTTTCCAATAATCGATCGGATACTTCGGGAGGGCTAGGCCTATAGTGTCAATTTCAATGTCCTTATATATGAAAGCAACTAGTGTGCAGTTCTAAGAATCCAACGGGGGAGAGGAAAATCCATAGAATTATGTGAAGTAAGAGGGTATGAATAGCTTTGGCTTTGTCACTTTGGCACAGATTTTATCAAGATGTTTCAAAGAAAGTCATACGCTTGGAAATACTTTGTTGAGAAAATAAAAGACGGAAAATGCGCCCCCAGCCACATTTGCAAAAGCATAATAAAAGTTGACGGGTCTTCAACTTCAAGCCTCTTAAAACATTAATTGAAGGGAAAACATTCAAATGAAATCGCAATCACGCAGAGCAGTAGTACAGAAACACCATATGATTATTGAAATGTCGGGTACTCATGTATTTCTTTCATTGCTCGAATACCCGGGTATCAAATTACCCGTATAACCCCAGCCCTACTGATTAGTGAACAAATTGCGGGGTATCGTACAAGCGCAGGGGGGGGGGGGGGGGCTGATAATATCCAAATTACCACAATATAGGACTTTTTTCTAGTAAGATGAAGCCTGGGTGATTTCGAAAAATAAGATACCGAAAACTAACATTATCTGTGGTCTCACTTTTTAACCTTTGACGCAAAACTTATTTATTTTCATATTGTACCCGTGGTTCAATTTAGATTGGCGTCAAAGTATGACTCGTGTCTCTTGCATAATTTATCATTCCTAACGACTTCCAACAACCGTTGAATACTTTGTTGCTTTTGGGTGCAATAAGATCAAGAAAGAAAAATAGGACATTTTTTAGAATTGATAACATCACGTATATCAGACCCCGTGTAAATCACAAAAATCAAATTAAAGAAAAACAACTAATGGTTTTCTCATAATAATACGTTTATGTTTCATGTCAGCGTCTCTATAAATAATATATATTTCCTTCTTTCGAAGGATTTCTTTCTTTCTGTACAATATGTTGAGAAACGGACACTTTAGCATGCCTCGCGCTCTACTGTGTTGTGGGTGATTCGGGTTCGAATACCCTTGCTCAGGGCGTTCCCAAACCCAAAATTTTAAAGATTATTTTTTGTCTCTCATATACGGAAATACACTAAACTAAATTGGTAACTGGTGGCGATGGTATGGCTATAACACATCTTTCAACACTATTAGATTATTTAAGAGGGGAAATCCCCTAATTTAACGTCCGTTTCGATCCCATAGGAAAGATTCAATAGGGTGGAAATATCTTGAAAACGTTTACCACAACCCAAGTTCAACAACAATCCAAATTATGCTTCGAACCTGGGTCATAGATACTATAACTTAGCCTGATACCATGAGCTAAGAGGGCTCCCACCCGTTAAAACAGAAGGTTCCTCCTCTTGAAGTATATCTTAGCGCCTTTAAAAACCGACAATATTATTATGTACTGTTCAACAGCGACGTCAAATTAGCAACAAGGGTGTGATTCTTCGTTGGCACCTCCATTGGGCGACTACGGCGGGGACAACAAAGTGTGAGAGCCAACATTGACAAATAGAGACGAAGAAACGATTCGATTCATTTAGTGCAACAACACAACAGTGGATCCCTATAGTCTCTTTGAGAGACATCACATTTGCAAGATGTTCACTGACTTTTAATATCATCTATTTGATTTTACTTGAACCTGAACGGAAATCTTAATCAGCAATAAATCTGCTTGCCGATTGTCCAGCCAACAAACAGATAAGATAAGATAAGATAAGATAATACTTTATCATCCCAAAGGGAAATTTTAGCCACACCGTCGGTCTGGTCCAGTAAACGAAACGCCCAGGAAAAAAAGATAGGCCCTATGTTGGAACATGACAATAGAAGGAACAGAAAAGCAATGTAAATTAAGAAAAGGGCCGGAAGAGGAGAGGAAGAATAATTAAGGACAGAGAAAAAAGTTAAAACTGAAGATGAAGAAAACAATGAACAGGAAGATCATGAATATATGAAAAAGAACGGTGGGAGTAGAAAGCGACAGTGACAAAGAAGAAGCAGAAGCAGAAGCAGAAGCAGCAGCAGCAGAAGAAGAAGAAGAAGGAAGGGAGGGAGGG